CCTAAAGGGGTGGTGGGCGCATGGTTCATTGTAATGGGCTTGGATAGTCCAAGACATTACTAATTAATTTAATTAGTTAAATTAATTATCAAACATTTAAATTTTGAATTTTGGAATTCGAAATTTGAATTTTGAAATTTTGAATTTTGAATTTGAATTTTGAAATTCGAATTTTGAATTTGAAATTTGAAATTTGAAATTTGAAATTTGAATTTTGAAATTTGGATTTTGAATTCGAATTTTGAAATTTGAATTTTGAAATTTGAAAATTTGAATTTTGAATTTGAATGTTTGAACATTTGAATTTGAATATTTGAATGTTTGAATTCAAATATTTGAATTTGAAATTGAATTGCCTATGAAAGGTTGTTTCATAACAAAAGGATAAGATGAGATCTTGTTGGAACAAATCACTAGTATCATGAGAGAATCATTTGGACAAGATCCAAGGCCATATATGGCGCTGATTTGGGTTGTTGGTGAGCAAGATTTGCTCATCTAAATCAGCTCCAGAAGATTCAATCAGTTGAGAGAAAATCTGAGTGAGTTGATTCAAATTTGAATGCAACTACTCAGATGTATCTGGTCACCTTTATGGGTTATATGGGGCGCACCATATAGCTGATCTTATGAAGATTTCTGATCAGAATTTTAAATAGGTTTTGAACCAATTCTCAAGAGAATATTCTAGGAGCCTGTTAGCAATTTTTGAAATAAAACAGCTCCACTTCTCTCTCTCCTATCTAGCGCTTAATGATCAGATTTTTAGGAGAAAAATTTGATTGGTATTTTATTTTAAATACTCTCCTCTTATGCACCTATGTGATAGTTGTTCCTCCAAGGATTTTTCTGAAAACCTAGCCTATTCTCTCATCTCTCCTGCGCCACTTGTGAAGCTTTCACATTGAGAGCTTCACTTTTTCAAACACTTTCACCTAGCCTCCATCTTCACACATAGAGCGCCTAACAAGCCTCTTTGTGGTGATCATCCGGTGGCTTCACAAGAAGGAGTTCTTGCACCTAGACGAGTGGGTGGTGTGGATCAACGTTAGAGGGTCTGAACCCTTCAAACCGGCCTTGATCATCTTGTGATTTCACGAACAAGGTAACATCATGCTTTCCTAAAGCATGATCTTGATGTGCATGTATATTCCGCAAAGAAAAATTTTGTTTTTCCCTCTTGCATGCATCGGCCTTCAAGGCCATTTCGAACTTTCAAAAAGGCTACTCACAGGTGGAGGATATTGATTATCATGATAATTTTTTCTCCAGTAATGAAGCATATATCAATTAGGATAATTTTGTCCATTTTTGCTGCATGAGCTTTAGAATTAGAATAACTTAATGTGAAAATTGCTTTTTTACATGGAAAGTTGGATGAGCTTGTCTTTATTGAGTAGCTAGAAGGCTTCATAAAGAAAGGCTCTAAAAAACAAGGTATGCTTGCTGCAAAAATCTTTGTATAGGCTGAAATAGTCTCGTAGGCAATGGTATAGGAGATTTTATAAGTATGTGTTGTCCTATGGTTATTCTAGATGAAATTATGATCATTGAGTGTATTACAACTTTGTAAATGATGATTGCGTTGTGTATCTTCTGATATATGTGGGTGATTTGCTTATTGCATCTAAAAATTTAAGTGAAATTGATAAACTTAAGGAAATGCTTAGGAAAAAGTTTGATATGAAGTTTCTTGATCCAGCCAAGAGAATCCTTGGCACAAACATTACTAGGGATAAGAATTAAGAAGGATAAAATATTATTCATTTTCCATTCCCAGTACATTAAAAAGGTTGTAAAACTTTTTTCTATGCATGAATCTAAGTTTGTAAATGTCTCTCTTGGTGCTTATTTTAGGCTTAGTTGTGTAAGCAATGAACTGTCATTTAATGAAGCCTCATACATGAAAAATTTACCTTATTCTAATGCCATTAGTAATTTGATGTATGCCATGATTAGCACTAGGCCTGATATTGCACATGGTTTGAGTGTGGTAAGTAGGTTTATGAGTAAACCCTGTAAAGAACATTGGAATGTTGTCGAATGGCTCCTTAGGTACTTGAATTTCACTTCTGATATCTGTTTGAAATATACCGCCCAAGATACTGATACTTTTTTCTGTTAAAGGGTATTGTGACTCTAACTATGCTGCAGATTTAGACAAGAGAAGACATTAACAAGAATGGTCTTCACGGTTGGTGGAAATCACGTGAGCTAGAAGTCAAATTTACAACACATAGTGGCTTTCTCCACAACTAAGGCAGTGTGCATAGCTCTAACCGAAGCTATGAAGGAGGCAATATGGTTAACATGTATCATGGGTGAGTTAGGTTTAGGTAATGGTGTCCCTGAGGTCTCTCAAAGCACTATTCATATATCTAAGAATAGTGCTTATCATGAGAGGACCAAACACATAGATCTTAGGATTTACTTTATAAGAGATATAATGTCTAATGGAACTATTAGAATTAGCAAAATTACTTCTGGAATTAATCCAATAGACATAATGACTAAGGTGGTTCCAGTAAATAAATTTTGTGCAGTATTGTTATTCTTGCACATTGAGTCTAAATAGTGTTTGTGTGTCTGGTGCTAGGATAATTCATGCTTCATATACTTGCACTATTATTTTGTAAATAAGGTGGAGTTTGAGAGTTTGTATTTACAAAATGGTGATGTTTTCTTAAATATTACTATATGTGTGTGCTGCATTTTGTGTTGCTTGATATGTCATTATATTTTGTTAGTTAAACACTGCATTTTGGCTTATTGCTTGCTGAATGTATTAGGCTAAACAAGGGGGTCTTTAAACTCATTCACTTAATACACATTTTTTGATTTTTTGCTCTCTCATTTTTGTCTTCAAAAACCCAAATTGGAAACTTATGACATTCGCATAAAAGACTAAAAGTAAAATAATAATAAAAATTGTTATAAAAAAAAAAATAATAATAATAAAAATAGAAGATAAAAATCCAATATATCTAAATCAAATAAAATAAAATAAATTAAGAACAAAAAAATTAAGACCAAATATATTGAAAAAGCTAAAAGCTAAAAGTAAAATAAAATAATAATAGATTAAATCAAAAAGAAGAAAATAGATTGAGGACAAAAAAGAAATAAAAAAAATAAAAAATAGGAAAAAGAAAGAAATCACTAATATTTTTCTTCTATTTTTTTTTTGTCTTTAGTCTATTTTTTTATTTAGATATGTTTGGTTTTTTCTCTAATTTTATTTTTTTCACATTTAGAACTGCTAAAAGAAATGAAAGAAAAAATAATATAAAAAAGAATTAAAAAAAGAACTGAATGTCATAAATTTTTAATATATTTGATCTTTTTTTTATTCCATTTTTTGTTTAGACTATTTTTATTATTTTTTATTTTCTCTTTCCTTACTATTGTATGTTTCTAATATATTTGGTTTTATTATTTTTGTCCATGGTCTATTTTTTTTTTGTTATTTAGATATATCTGACAGTTTTTTCTTTTATTATTTTTTCTTTTATTTTTTTTAATTTTTCAATATATTTAGTTTTATTTTTTATTTTTTTATCCTCACTCTATTTTCTTATTCGTAGAAAGGTAAAATAAGTAGAGTAACTTAATTTCTATAGGTATTAAGGATGAGTTTAGATGGAAGAAAATATAAACGATAAATGAGTAAAAAAATAAAATAAGAGTATAAGTAATTCAAGACAAAACAGGATTATAAACTTGTCTATAATATACATTGCTTTTTCTACACGTAGATAAGTTATTAATGTAAATAAGTTATTTACATTAAGCTCAAAATGACATTGCTTTGAAGCTGAAATCAAGATATTTTTGTAATTATAATCTGTTTCGGGGTTATAATAGTCTTTTTCATTATAATTTTTTAATTTTTCAACCCAAAATGACGTCATTTTGAAAGTAAATATAGATAACTTATCTACATTCACTATGGAAACATTAAATCCATATACATATATCAATTAAGGGGATATTGTTTCTCATATTGCAGGAGACAATTTATCTCATTTAACATATAAAAAAATGGATAAGACCCACTAAGGAGAATAGAGAAAAAGAAAACAAGTGAATCCTACCCATTTTTTATATATATTATATTAAACAAATTTTCTTATAAGAAATTAGGCTAGCTTATTTGGATTATCTTTTTTTTAAGCTATAAATTACTTTTAAGCTAAAATAAAAAAAAAAGTTAAAAAAAAATTAAAATTTATTTGGTGATTATATAACAGAAAAGTGTTTTTTATTACTTTAAAAGCACATATTTCAAAAAAAAATTTCTTTTTATATATTTATGGCTTTTTACTTAAAAAAACACATAATTCAAGAAAAGCTTATAAGAGCTAAAAAAAACTCCTCTTATAAATTTTTTGTTTTTAATTTTTTTGTTTATTATAAAAAAAGCTTTTGATTATAATAGTTTTTTGTAAAACCTTCTTGGGAAAAAAAATTTGTTATTTTAAATGACATAAAGTTATATCATTTTAAGAAAGAGATAGACACAAAATAATTTTTTTATTTAAAATTTAAATTAAAAAAAGAACCAACTACTTTCTCTCCTATGATTTACATTCCTTGTGTCTATCTCTCCCTACATAACTTATGTTATTTAAAATGACAAACATCAAATCTAACCTTTTTAGCCTAATTTCTTTCTTTTTCCCTTATAAAAGTATTTATCATTTGTAAATGACATAAAGTTACGTTATTTTAATGTAGAGATAGACACAAAATAATATTTTTTATTTAAATTTAAATTAAAAAAAACACTCATTTTCTTCCCCATAATTTTATTTCTTGTGTCTTCTCTCTTTAAATGAGATAACTTATGTCGTTTAAAATAACAAATATCAAATCCTTCTTTTATATAGTTAGAAAAGAAACTAAAAGAGAATTAAAAAAAAAAAGTAACTGATAGCCGAAGAATAAACTTCATTCCATTCTCAATTGAATTGATTTCATTCAGAATAAACCTCAATAACAATGGGTAAATATAACTATGAACCAAATGGTATGATCTCAATCTCATAACAACCAACACAAATGGCAGAAGAAGAAGAAGAAGAAACTGTTCATAGAAAGCACTACAAACCCAACGATCCTCTTTCTCTTCTTCTTCAATGTGCAGACTTGGTACTACCATGGCTAACCCCAACAGAACTCGCCAACATTTCCATCTGCTGCAAATCCCTTCGCAAAATCTCCAACTCCATCACTCTCCACCGCTCCTCCGATGCTTCTAGAACCTTCGAGAACTTTCCAATCCCATTTCATAACACCGTCGATGACCACCCTTACGCTCACTTCCTCTACACCCCTTCCTTCCACTTTCCCTCCCACCAGCTCTTGCGTCAACCTTGGGGCTCTTCCGTAATTTCACCTTCCGCGCCGAGTCAGCTTCGGTCGGAATCGGTGAGTCTGGTTGACGAGTTGGGTCGTAGCGTGATGTCTGGGTGTGACTGCTGCGAGGCTTGTGGGGATTCGGGTTGTCCGTGTTTGGGGTTGGATGGGTTGGATGACGTGGGAAGGGAGTGTGGACCGGGTTGCCGGTGTGGACCGGAGTGTGGGAACCGGTCGAGCCAGAAAGGGGTTGCGGTTCGGGTGAAGATTGTGAGGGATGAGAGGAAAGGGTGGGGTGTGTGGGCTGACCAGTTCATTCGGAAAGGGGAATTCGTGTTTGAGTATGCAGGTAATTGTAATTTGGAAAATCATTGTTCATTTGTCTCCTCCTGTTGTTGATTTTGAATGGGACTCACTTGGTAATGTTAACTGTTGGAGAATGTTATGTTTGTTACCTCCAATTTGAGTTTAATTAAATGTTATTGGTGATTTTAAGGTTATTTTGCATATCTTTGTGTGTATGTTTGAATTTTGTTGTTGTCTAGGTAAGAGTTTTGAATGGATGTTAGTGTTACCCTTTTGGTCTTAGGTGGGATATTTTGAGTTTGAGAACATTGTTTGTCATTGTGTTTGAAGGAAGAGTTGGTTGCATTTTGTTATGTTTGTTAAGTAAATGAAGAAAGCAAGAGAAAAACAGGGATGCTTCTACAGCTAGGATGTGAAGAGTGAATTTTCTTACACTATATACTAACATGTGGGAGACCAGGAGGTATAGAAAATCAGTGTCCAGACCAAACATAAGAAAAGGATGGGAAGAAAATGATGCTTTTATGTTAGTAATGTGAGCATGACTAACATGGTTGTCATGAAAATGTGAAGTTTGTGGATTCTTTTATTTTTTATTTTTTTTATTTGTAGTTAGTTCGATTGTTTGTCGTATCGGTTGAGACTGAGAAAAAAGAGAGGCATGTGTAGAAAACATAGTTACTGTCGTGTTACGTAACAGTAATAGAATATTTATAGGAGTGGGATGATAAATACAATGATCCTTGCTACTATAATTATATAATTTGGTCATGATTGGTTTTTCCTTTATAATGAACCTAGTCACTATTAAATAGTTCTCGGCAATCCCCCTCAAGCTGTTATATCATGGAAAAGAAATTGGTGGTTCTTCGCAAACCCCGGTGCATAAGGTTCCCCAACTTTGCGAGCGTGCAAGTGAGTGTTGATTGTATACAGTGTTACCTTTGCAGTTTTGCAAAGAGGCTGTTTCACAAACTCAAAGTAGTGACTTTTTGGTCACAAAGGAGCAGAAATTGGTGGTTCTTCATATGTGCTAGAACACGATCCAAGCGAAACGAGTTTTCTGCTGTGATTTTGATCATTCAAGCCATATCTGCTAGTAGAATCATATGATTCTACATGTTGAATCGTGACTTTTACAACCTTGCCTTGAATGATATGTCAGAGGGTCCTCACTGCTAACTGAGCTATATTCTGCATGAAAGGTAGCTTGTTATGATGATGGACTATAGGTAACGGGTGAGTTGATGTCTTGATCTGATATTTACAGTTAAGGAATCTCTTTCTGGTGCTCTGAAGCAATCAAAAGGTTTTGATCTAGTTGAAAAGCAGGTCTTTGCTTGTGGCAACCACTTAGGAGGTGAAATCAATATGTTGAGTATGAATATTTGAAATCTATAAATGAACTGATGGAGTTGTTGTAAGTTAACTGCTGGTAGACTGGTATGGTGGGATAGGCAGGTGATTTGGAAACTAAGGAGAGTAATACAAAATAATTTCCATGTGTTACTTAATACTGAGGGTACCCTTTGATATTTTGACTAAAATGGGGAACTGAATGACACTTTCTTTTGATGAGATCTATAGAAATTAGAAAGTATGATGGTGAGATCAGATGTATGTATGTCAGTTAGATTATTGTATGAGGGTTGGTAGAAACTACCTTCTAGTGTTTGCTAAAGTTAAGGTGATTATTGCGGATAATTTCTTGATTCTTAGTCATGTTCTTATAAATGCGTATTTTTTTATCCTCATGTACATGCATGTAAAATTAATTCATGGTTTCCTGTATAAAAAAGGTGAACTCTTGACAACCAAGGAAGCACAAAGCAGACATCAGTATTATGATGAACTTGCATTGCATGGTCGTTTCTCTTCTGCTCTTTTAGTTGTAAGGGAGCATCTTCCATCTGGAAAGGCATGCTTGCGATCGAACATTGATGCCACAAGAATAGGAAATGTGGCACGGTTTGTTAATCATTCATGTGACGGTGGGACTTTAAGCACAAAGCTAGTTAGAAGTTCAGGAGCTTTGTTCCCCCGCCTTTGCTTCTTTGCTTTGAAAGATATCCAACACGATGAAGAGCTTACTTTTAGCTATGGAGAAACAAGGAAAAGGCCCAATGGTTTGCCATGCTTTTGCAACAGCCCTTCTTGCTTTGGAACATTGCCCTCAGAAGACACTTGAGATATATTACTGTTTAGGTATGTGACTTATGATAGTTGTCAAAGAAAATTTTGATTTTGGCTTTCATGAGATGGTAGGTGACCTCATTTTGGAGGTTAAGATATTATGTATTAGGACAGGGTAGTGTTTATAAATTTGACGTTATTTTTTAACAAGCATTGCAAGCCCACAGCAGACTCATGACAGTTTCACGAATCACGAGCTTCATGTAGAAACAGTTTTCAAATGTTTGTATTACATAACAAGGAAATCATGGAAGCATTCTCATGACATACTAATACAGTTATGGGTAGTATTAATGAACTTGAAACGAAAAGAGGATAAAGGATGTAACAAAACAAACAAAAACAACAACACATTGACGGTGAACGGGTGAAGTACTATGTCATGGTTGAACACTTAATGAAACCTTCTTTCCTCGTCCTCTTCTTCATATTGGGACAACCCAGAGAGTTGAAGAGGCTCTAAGCTGTGTGATGAGGATGCTGTCCCCATTGCATGGTCAAAACCAGGGTTGAAGCTGCTTGGGTTCATGTGGTTAATGGAAGCAAATGAATTGTTGTAGTAAGCTGGCTGCAGCCCTACATTCATGTTTAGCTGCTGCTGCTGCTGCTGAAGGGCACTTGAATGTCCAAACCGACTATTTATCACGTGAGTTCGCATCATAGTGACCTCTGCTTGCAAAGATGCCACCTGAATTGGTTGAAAAAATGAGTTTTTAATTGATGAATGAAATTCTAGTTAGCTTTTTTTGTTTTGTTTGTTTATTTTTCCCTATTATTGTATTTTTTGCTGGAAAGAAATTAAAAGGAGTGTCATGCAATAAACTTTAGAGTAATTCTCTGTTTTCTATTAGAATGGATTTAGAGTAATTCTAGACATACAAAAGAAACACCCCTTTTTGTAGCTTATCTTCGAATCTATTTTGGAGTAATGAGCAGTTTTATGCACAAAATCATAGGTTTAAACTAGGGGACTAATAATAGCATATTATAATGTCTGATTTATGAAGCTATAAAATAAGTCCATTATCAAGTCTGTATCATTAATTTGTGGTTAAAAATAACCATAAGAGAATAAATAGAAGCTGCAAAAGTTATATATATAATTTCAATCAACCTGTTGTTGTAAAGCAATAATGGTGGATACACAACCATAAACAGGATCAGATAGCCTTTCTTGAGCCTCGTATGATATAGTCTCCGCCGCTTCATGGCGGTGGTTCACTGGAACACTCAGTAAGAGCTTTGACACATTGCTAGCACCAAACACCTTGTGCACAGCTGCAAACTTGGCTGCACCCTGGTCTGAACTAAAGTAAGGTGCAAAGATGCACCCTTCAATGCACTTCCTCCTCAAGAACTTGCAAGCCCCACATGGTGCCGTAGGTGATGCCATTAGTGGTGAAAACTCTTGTGTTGGTAATAGAGAGCAGAAGAGAATCTTGGTGATGTTGATTCTTATATGAGAAGTTGTGGGGTAATACACGTTGGTCTTGTGATTGTGTTGGCATGGTGAATAATGTGGTATTAAGCTTCTTTTTTCCTTTGAGAAAGAAGAAAACGTTAACGCTGGTGCGGGAGTGTGTGAGTAGCACGTGCAAAGGGAGGCATTCATATGATAAAATGCTTGTTGGTGTGTTTGTTACATATATGGTAGATATATAATATTATGATGATGATGAAATAATGATTGTTTGAAAGTTGAAAAGGTTTTCTTTGTAGGAAACAACAAGAATTGTGCAGTGTTTGTTCTGCTTTGAGTGTGAACAGGGGCAGATCCAAGGGAGGGGTGCGTGGATTGGCGGTCGCACCTCCCTCAAAAACACTTGTAATAGTTAGTCTCTTCTATTAGTCCTAATAACATTTGTAGCTTAATTTTTTTTTTTCGTCATCTATCATAAAAAATTCTAGAATTCTAGATTTGCCATTGCGTGAGATGGTAAAATCAAATGTGTATGGGTGTCATGGCTATTTTATTTTATTTTTTGTTTTGTATCTAGCAAGCAATACAATTAATAGATGATTAATTGAGGGCTGTTTAATTGCTACGTTTTATGTTGTGTTTTGTCGAATTAGTGTTTTACGGCTTCTTTTTGTGCATGTAAAATGCAAGTTCTACTTTATTAGGCATGGGGTGGCTTTTTAGGTTATGAAAGAAACATGAAGAACTCGTGTGAGAGTGGATCTTTTCATGTGTTATTTTCATATCACGAGGTTATCTAAATTTATCATAACCCTCTATTATTCTTAATAATAAATTAGGGGTTACTTTTTATCTTCTCTATTCCTCTCCTCTCACTCTTTTATTCATTCCTTCTCTTTCTCATCTTTACTTTTTTACATTCTTTGTAACTCAGACTCATTTGCAGTTTAACAAGACAATTCCTCATCACTGTGTTCCTTCTCTCCAAGACTCAAAACCTATTTGCAAATATTTTGGAATTACAACTACATCTAAGCATAGAAGATGTAGTTTGTAATCCATTTTTTTTTTGCTAGGGGAATGAATAGATGTAGTTTGTTGAAGTCTGCAATTTGTTGAGCAAATTTTGCTTTTCTTAGGTCGGGAAAGTATGATGTTGTAAGATGTTAAAATTTTCAATGTTAGTCTACATGAAACCTAATCCATCAACAATCTGATATTAAACATTTCTAGCATTGAACCATTTCATTTCATGCCTTGTAATTCTCCTTGATAGTGCTTGTATCTTGACGCAAAAGTCTTGTGAAGGTTAGATGTGAAGTTTGTCAGTTTTTTTAACTACATGTATTGCAACTTGCTGCAACCCACTTTGGAGCTGTGACAGTTGTGGTTTTCTCAGAATTCCAACTTTCCATAATGCAAATTAGAGAAAATGGAAGAGGGGAGCAAAATGAACTAAGAGAATGATAGAATTGAAACTGATATGCTAACTTAGTTCCTCTTGATGCGCGTGTACGTGGGAATGAGAACAAAAACTAATTGAAACTCAACGGCATATATAATTGGGAATGACAACAAAATAAACCATGAGAATAAGAGTATTGAAAGTTTGAAACAGATACTATGATAGCTTGGATTTATTATTCTTATATTACATAAAAAAAATATTTATCTCCTATATACATAAATTTAAGATGGATTTCACTCTACTTTTTTTTCTCTCCTCCTGAAAATGGATCCCACATGTACAAATGAGTTCGTAAATGAGAAAACTATTACCCTAACTTTTTCTTTTTAAGTTATGCCACACAGTACAATACTAATCCAAAATATATTCCCAAACTAATTACTAGCTCTGCCTCCATATAGTACAATACAATTCCACTGAATACTAATTCGAAAACTAATCACTGGTTACACAAGTATTCCAAATTCAACAAATCTCAAACAGGAGTAAATACCAGCAATGGAATTCTTCTACTTGGACAAATCAAAACGCCAAAAACCTTCACACTAGTTGGAATACCAAAACTTCTGGTTGCTCATTATGATTGACACATCACTAAAAGAATTTATACTCGGTTGAACTCAATGTTTGATGATTAAAAAAGAGTAACATCAAGTGGTTCCTCCATAATAAACATAATAAAAATAAATTATAAACCTAATACCATTTCTTGTTTTCAAGCCTTTAACTTATATGGAATGAAGGTTTTCATTTGAAAAAGAGGTTAGTCCGAAATTTTTCTTGCAAATGTCATCAACTTGTTTTCTTAACTCTTCGCTAGCCTTTTCCGTAAATATATGTTTCCTTGCAATCCGAAGCTTGTGTGGCTTTCTCACTAGTTTAGGACAAATTTGCTTATACTATGGTGTGCAAAATCGCCCTTTTTCCTATTTCTATGCCGACAAGCCGAAACCAAAACTTTTATTTTCTATTGAGGAATAGTTCGAGTAAGTCTTGAATGAGTACCGCGAAAGCTTGATGTAAATAAGCGAATTTTTTTTCTTCGTTTCTGAGCTATATAACCTCAAGATTAGCATATTATTGAACATTTCTACCATGTGTATCGTTAACAAATTCACTCTTTGCTTCTCTTGTACCTTCAAAATATATCAAATGGGCATTGATTTAATATCTTTGATATCAAGTACCTTCATTGCATGATATCACAAAAATCCGAGTGTTTCAAATATTTCTTTCTTTGTATAACATGTAAAATATTTGTCATATTCTTTTTGAAAAAGATCAAAAAGAGTTAAAGTATATATTTATGCAACCTATTGCATTAGAGGTAAATTTTCCATCATTGACCTATGTACTTTTTTGCCTAGATTCAAATTCACAGTGCAACTCATTTTCCATCATTGATCTAGTTTTGCAAAAAATGCAACTCATTCTACTTCAAATTATGAAGGTGTTTCAGGCATTACCTCAAATCAAAAAATGAGACCCATGATATATTTTGGGCATTAGTTCAAGTAACGCTTTAGCCATTTCATGGTCTTGATGGGTGAAAAGAGTTTGATATTTCTTTCTCTTATGTGCCTCCAAAATTTCTAAATAACCACTCAAATGATCCTAATGTCTCATCATAATGAAGTGCATCTCTAAAAACTACTACCCTTTTAAAGTAGGTAAATCCAAAAAACACAGCCAAATGGTCTATATGCATTTTATTTTTTTTGGGGAAAAATGTAAATATATATTAAGCCCAAAGAGATACAATATAGCTGGGGCATACCCCGCAAATCAAAAAATGGAGACAACAAATGGTCGTAGTGCAAAAGCCACTGAAAGCTAGACCACTAAGAACATATGCCTAATACAAATGGGTTAGATGTGAATGTCTATACACAAGAAATTTAATCTTGTCAATTACATCATTTACAAAAAAAGACCCATGATCAAAAACAACACTATTTCTGTTGAGCCAAATACTATAAACATCCAAATACTATAAACAGTAGTAGCGGCCAAGCATCTTTGCTTGCCAATAATACCCGAGGCGGCCCTGCAGTGTATAAGCTTGTTTAGTGTGCCTTTAAGGGAGATATTTCTCTTTGGAAAGAGACTCCAATCTCTTATAACCGACCAGACCTGTAACACAAGAGGGCAAGAGAAAAACAAGTGTGAATTTGTCTTCAATTCACCTTTGCATAAAAAACAAGTTTGGCCTTTGTTCAAATAAGGAGCCTTGTCAAGTGTTAGCAATCTATTGTTGACAGCTAGCCAAAAAATGAAGCTCATCTTTGGAGGAATAGCCGCATTCCAAACAACATGTTTCCAAGGAACATTAGGCTTCGGTTGTCTCAAATACGAATAAGCTTTGCTTGCACTAAGTTTATTGCCATGGACCCATGATTGCAGCACATTCACAGCATTACCTTGACTGTTTTCTTTGGCAGCAATGGAATCACGGATATGGAAGATCCTTTTCATGAAAACCGAATCAAATGGGGAGGCATAACAGTCCCAAATGCTTTGATTCTTGAAATAATAGTGGTGGATCCACTTCACCCAAAGGGAGTCCTTTTTTACATGGAAGTCCCAAAGAGTTCTAGCAATTAAAGCATTATTCCAAGTCTTGAGACAAAAGAGACCCAAGCCTCCTTCCTCCTTGGGGGAGAAAACGGTCGTCCAAGCAACCAATGGCTTTTTCTTTCCCTCCTCTGCCTTGCCCCACAAAAAATTTCTACAAGAAGCATTAATTCGGTGGATGACTGATACAGGAAGGGGAGAAATGCCCAGCCAGAAATTTGCAATCCCCTGTATCACCGCTCTAACAAGCTCCAATCTGCCTGCATATGACAATGTCTTCCTATTCCAGCCTCGAATTAACGCTGTAATTTGGCCAATCAGTGGATCATAATGGCAGACATTTAATCTAGAAGCTAATAAAGGGACACCCAAGAATCTAAAGGGAAAAGAACCAAGAGGGAAACCCGTAAGATTCTGAATCAAGTCCACATCATGTTGCTTTACCCCAGCCGAGTAACAAGCAGATTTTCATTGCTAATTTGCAAACCAGACACACTGCAAAAATGTTGTAGTTTGCTAAATAAAGCCGTGACAGAAGGGAGATCACCTCTGGATAGGAGGATAATATCATCAGCATAAGCAAGATGGAAAATCTTCAAAGGAGCGCATGCTGGGTGGAAATTGAAGGTGTTGTCTTCTCCCAATGAAAGCAGGTCCCTAGAAAGATATTCTAAACAGAGAACAAAAAGGTAGGGGGATAGGGGATCCCCCTGTCTCAGCCCCCTTTTACCTTTGAACATCCCATGGATACAACCATTGACAGCAATGCTAAAAGATGTGGAGGAAACACACTCCATAATCCATTCAATAAACCGATTGGGGAAGCCAACCTCGGACATCATCCACCGCAAAAATTCCCAAGAAATGGAGTCATAAGCTTTATGTAAGTCAATTTTTAATAAGCATCTAGGAGATACCCTTTTCCTAGCATATTTTCGAATGAGCTCTTGGACTAGAAAAATATTGTCATTCATGCTTCTATTCTTCAAGAAAGCTGATTGGAAGGGCTCAACAATGTTTTCCAAGACAGGACCAATTCGATTAGCAAGAATTTTGGAGATAATCTTGTATATGACATTGCAACAAGAAATTGGCCTGAAATGGTTGACCGTAGAGGCATTTTCAGATTTCGGTATCAAAGCAATGATTGCATGGTTCACTTGCTTTAATAGTTTTCCAGATTCAAAAAACTCAAGGACGGCTGCATAAATATCCTCACCAATGATATTCCAAGATTCCTTAAAGAACTTGGCATTGACACCATCCGGTCCAGGAGACCTATTATCATCAAAAGCAGCCACTATTTTCCGAACATCCTCTTTTGAGATGGGGCCCATTAGTATATCGAAGTAATGAGGAGGCACCTTTGGACCATTGCTGGAAATGACTTTGGAAGCAGGAGCCTCTTGCTTCTCCACCCCTAACAGATCCGAGAAGTAGGAGACAAAAGCATTAGCAATATCATACTGGGATGTGAGAGTTTTACCATCGTTGGAATGGATGGCTGCAATGAACCTATGGTGCCTTTTACTGTTAATGTACCCATGGAAAAACTTTGAGCATTTATCAACATCTATGAGGAACTTGTTCTTCATTAGCTGAGTTATATGATAGACCTCAGCCTTTCTAAGATTAATAATCTCCCTTCTTGTCCTGTCAGCTAAGCCAAGCAAGGAGGCCTCCTTAGGATTGGATTGGAGGGAAAGAAGAACATTATTATACTCTATTTCTGCCATTTAAATTCTGCCCGAAATTCTGCTGAAGTTTTTGATGTAAAGCTGCTTGAGGGGAGCCTTAAGGCGCTTCAATTTCATGCAGATAACAAACATCTTATTGCCCGACACTTGCAACTTCCATCCATCATCAACAGTGGGCAAGAAAGAATGTAAATCTGTAACAGAGTTATGAAACTTAAAGGAAACATTACCTCTCACCAAGTGTGAATCTGAAGAAACAATAATAGGAGAGTGATCCGAGATGGATTCAAATCCTGGAACTTCATAGGAAGATCTTTGAAAATCATTGGACCAAATATTGTTGCAAAGAACTCTATCAAGCTTGCTCCAAACCCGGCCATTGGTCCAAGTGAAGTAGGAA